ACTTTAGCTGTACTACAAGGGGTGTTTGCTATATCCTGGATAACTTACTTACAGGATGAGGTTCGGCCCTGACAGAATTAACTCTACACAGTCTCCTAACTATCACATTACAGTTAATATGCTTTATTGATCCCGCCAATCTGGACCGCTCCATTACCCTATAAGGGTCAAGAAATGGAAATAGAACAAAAAAGGTTGTTTCTGTGGCCAATTTGATGTAATAGTTAATCAGGAGCGTGTCTACATGTCTGTGGTCTTGTGTATCCACCTCTCTCAATCCACGACGCTTCGTTGGTTGATGGTCTTACGAATCTGTCTCACGGAGCACTTACTAGGGTCTATACAACAGTCTATAGATTACAAACACTCTGATTGCCCCAATGGTATTTAGTGACCCAGGCAGCGGGACTACTGATTTACCTCTTGTTAACAGACAACGGATCTACGAGGCCAAGGAACGGCCACAGAATAGGAAGACTTACGAATCTATTTGGCTTGTAAGTTAGATTGTATTGGCCAAATAAGGGCTGGTCGTTGTAAATTATAGCATGGAATTCGCATCTGTAAATTGAAACTAGCCAGAAAATCCATTCTGCCCAATTAAGGTAATTCTCCGGTAATATTGATCTGAAAAGACCGAATATTTAGAGTTATGTCCCCCTAATAGATGATTTACAGTGTACACATCAGTAAGTATTCATGTACCCAACAATTCAAATGTTCAAATGTAAGAAAAATAATGTAATAATAACTTCGTGAATCGACTTCGAGTAATAATGTTTGACACAGAATGGAGTTTTGAGGATATAGGATCAGCGTATTATGACATTGCTCGTGATTTTTCCAGCATTATCAAATGAACCAGATGACTGATTTAATGTTAAATCTAAAACAGTGTGATCAATTTATATATATATTGTGTAACGGTGTCTGGAGGCAAGCAATCACCTATGTAAGGTGTTACAACACCAAACACATAAACAAGCTTTAACAACCCCACACAAATGTAAGGTACTATAAGCTCACACAGAGCTCATAGGTATACAAGATATACCAAGCCCACACAAATGTAAGGTACTATAAGCTCAAACAGAGCTCATAGGTATACAAGATATACCAAGCCAACACAAATGTAAGGTACTATAAGCTCACACAAAGCTCATAGGTATACAAGATATACCAAGCCCACACGAATGTAAGGTACTATAAGCTCACACAGAGCTCATACCTATATATATATACAAGCTATAATAAGTCCACACAAATGTAAGGTACTATAAGCTCACACAGAGCTCATACATACACAAGATATACCAAGCCCACACAAATGTAAGGTACTATAAGCTTACACAGAGCTCATACATATACAAGATATACCAAGTCCACACAAATGTAAGGTACTATAAGCTCACACAGAGCTCATAGTTATACAAGATATACCAAGTCCACACAAATGTAAGGTACTATAAGCTCACACAGAGCTCATACATATACAAGCTATAACAAGTCCACACAAATGTAAGGTACTATAAGCTCACACAGAGCTCATAGGTATACAAGATATACCAATTCCACACAAATGTAAGGTACAATAAGCTCACACAGAGCTCATACATATACAAGCTATAACAAGTCCACACAACTGTAAGGTACTATAAGCTCACACAGAGCTCATACATATACAAGATATACCAAGTCCACAAAAATGTAAGGTACTATAAGCTCACACAGAGCTCATACACATACAAGATATACCAAGTCCACACAAATGTAAGGTACAATAAGCTCACACAGAGCTCATACATATACGAGCTGCTAACAAGCTCACACAAATGTAAGGTACTATAAGCTCACACGGAGCTCATACATGTACGAGCTTTAACAAGCCCACACAAATGTAAGGTACAATAAGCTCACACGTGGTTTATACCTATATATATACAAGCTATAACAAGTCCACACAAATGTAAGGAACTATAAGCTCACACAGAGCTCATACATATATATATATACAAGCTATAATAAGTCCACACAAATGTAAGGTACTATAAGCTCAAACAGAGCTCATACCTATATATATACAAGCTTTAACAAGTCCACACAAATGTAAGGTTCTATAATCTCACACAGAGCTCATACCTATATATATACAAGCTATAATAAGCCCACACAAATGTAAGGTACAATAAGCTCACACAGAGCTCATACATATACGAGCTGCTAACAAGCTCACACAAATGTAAGGTACTATAAGCTCACACTGAGCTTATACCTATATATATACAAGCTATACCAAGTCCACACAAATGTAAGGAACTATAAGCTCACACAGAGCTCATACATATATATATATACAAGCTATAATAAGTCCACACAAATGTAAGGTACTATAAGCTCACACGGAGCTCATACATGTACAAGCTTTAACAAGCCCACACAAATGTAAGGTACAATAAGCTCACACGGGGTTTATACCTATATATATACAAGCTATAACAAGTCCACACAAATGTAAGGTACTATAAGCTCACACTGAGCTTATACCTATATATATACAAGCTATACCAAGTCCACACAAATGTAAGGTACTATAAGCTCACACAGAGCTCATACATATATATACAAGCTTTAATAAGTCCACACAAATGTAAGGTACAATAAGCTCACACGGAGATTATACCTATATATATACAAGCTATAATAAGGTCCACATAAATATAAGGTACTTTAAGCTCACACCGAGCTAATACATGTACAAGCTTTAACAAGCCCACACAAATGTAAAGTACTAGAAGCTCTCACAGAGCTCATATCTATTCAAGGTATACCAAGCCCACACAAATGTAAGGTACTATAAGCTCACATGGAGCTCATACATATACAAGATATACCAAGCCCACACAATAAGCTCACAAAGAGCCATACATATACAAGATATAACTAGCCCACACAAATGTAAGGTACTATAAGCTCACACAGAGCTCATACATTTACAAGCTTTAATAAGTCCACACAATAAGCTCACACAGCGCCCATACATATACAAGGTATAACAAGCCAACACGAAAATGCAATAGCATACGAGCCCTTGGCTTCACCTATTTAAGGGCTTACGAGAGTGGAAGTCTAAAATAAAAAACAGAAATGTAAAAACAGAAAATAAAAGTGCACTTTAATTAAGTTGTGTATTGGAGACTGGAGGCCAAATTACGGCAGTGATTCACAGCCTCTCTACAGTCTGAGTTGTAAAGGTCACAGACTGTTGCCGGGAAGCCATTAACAAAATCCTTTAATAAATAGTAATGGAGAATTTTACTGGGTCAAGTTTTAATGTGTCTACCTTTGTTTTTAGACACAGATTTCTAATATGTTTAAGTAAGATTTTAATGGTTTTGTTTTAGTTTTCAAACACAGATTTCTAATGTGTTGATGTCAGAGTTGGGTTTCAATTGGATACATTCTTTTTTACATGTTCAAGTCAATTTAAATGTGTTTTGTTTCAGACAGGATGCAAAGAAAACAAAAAAGCACAAAAAAGGGCTATAACAAAAAACAAAAAAGCAATTGTGTGTGTTTTGGTATATTGGTCTATTGTTTTAATCGACGATGTTTGTGATTTTTTATGGTATGTTCTCAGGGCTTGTTCTCTATAAGAGAATAGAGTCTTAGCATGCCAAGTCAATTTCCTCCGTAATGCTTCAATTTCAGCAGAGATATAGAATAAATTACTTCATCAATTTTCTAATCACAAACAGCGGAGTGTCAAAGGGGCTTTAGTATGTAGCCTGCTCCGGAGACCTCAAACACCGACCACAGAAAACGTTTTTGTACATGAAATTTTTATTGGTAATAAAGCATTAGGTGTCGTCTTTATCTGTGATCTGCAGGTGGTGATCGGGACGATTCTAGGCTGGAGGAGTGATCACTTCCGCACCGCGACCCCCTCCTGGCAGACAAATGCATTGTGTTATAATTGTGACCCAGTAATCTGGCGGTAAAGTCTCACTTGTCATTGACAGTAAGATCGCTGTCAGTTCTTAACGATGGATACAAACAATATGTCAGGGTTTTGTCCAATCATTGACCTGCCAGGGGTAATATATTTTAATTGTAATTCTGTGGCATGTAGGTCCATCTGGCAGCCCTGTCAGCATTTTGACATATTGGTAAAGTCTTCATGTTTTCACCTCCATCAAAATAATAGACCTAAACTGGCATGAAATTGATTTGTACACATAATAGATGATCATTAGTAAATGGAATTAGAATTAGTAAAAAGTAACGTTTCGCTTCGCTCCTTTTCCTAATTTACAGATCGATATATCTGGCATTTGTTATTTTATCTAAATAGCAAAAATTATTGACTCTTTGTTAATAACACACTCAGGGTGTGAAACATGAAAAAGATAAAAAAAAAAACCACTTGATATTTCATTTGTAGAAAGGTGACTGTAAATTTCACCTGTGAAGACCTTAAGATAATAACAGGTGTTACACAAACAATTCACATTTCAACATTGACCGTTATGGTTCTAAAGATAAGAAAATCTTCTCAAGTTCAAGATTCCCAGGAGCCTTGACCTTTTACTAGATTAACTGGGTTTATACGATCATAGTACGCCAGAAGATTCATCATTCTTCATGTCACAGCTTTGGGGCTACCAAGAGCCCAAAATCATCGGTATATTGTTTTAAGCATTCATTATACATGTAAAGATGAAACAAATCTTCCTCTTTAGAACCATAAATGTCAAGACTTTTGATTTCCTATGCTATGTTGATAAGTGACTGTTAATTTAGACTCCAGGGGACCTCCAATACCGTGTGATGTCAATTTAGACTTCAGAGGACCTCCAATACCGTGTGATGTCAATTTAGACTTCAGAGGACCTCGAGCTCCAATACAGTGTGATATGCTGTGAGGCTTAAGACTTCATATATTTTCTTCCAAATTTGCTAATCTTTAAAATCTTTGACTAACATGATGTTTTATTTTGCAGATGGACAGGACGAGATTCAAGGCTTGATACATGTCCCTGAGGATTCAAACATCATCACCTGTAAGTCTGCTCTTCCATTTACTTAGTTAGCTCTTCCATCAAATTAGTTAGAACATTATTAATTAAGGTCTTTATTTGTTAACACATTGGTCAATAATTAATTATTACATTGATGAAGTTGTTACCAAAAACTCAGAAAGATTACTTTGAGATCCCTTCTAGAGCTGGCGGGAACATTTACTCAAAATGGCTGTAGACTGCAGGGGGGGGGGGCTTTGCCTCCCAGACCCCTACCAGGGGCTTTAACCCTGGACCTTACTTTTTTGCCCCTCCTTATCCCCCTTCTAAATCAGTTGCACCATGCTAAATTATGATGAATTCTTGAATGAAGTGAAATAAAGTTATTTTGGACCTTAATTGATGTAGGTGAATCTATATAGGTATTTGCTTACCTTTTCTTTTATTGAAGGTGAACTTTCTGAATTCAAATTCCAGAACTTTCAGGAAACATCTTAATCAAAGTTGCCTTCTAACCTTGTAGTACTAATAGGTCCCTGATGGGTGTTACTGGTATAAAAAGAAACAGACTTACCACAACAGAGAATATTTTATTTCTGGACTTTTTTCAAAGGTTAATTTGGTATATAGGGTCCAGTAAGAAAACGTAATGCAGTGTTTTTTAAAAGGTTAATGGGAGGTAGGTGGTGTTGGCGCCCTCCGAAGCTGTGACAATTGATAGTGAGCTAAACATGCCTGATTTTAACTAGTTGATTGATAGACTAGTGTCATCCATGTAATTTCTCTTTCTCAAAGGTCAAGCTTACACAGATATACAGCTGGACATGAAATGTCAGCTTTTTTTGTACTTTTGTAAACATATATTGTTGAACAATTATACCCTCCCCCAAATAGAGTTAGGTAGTAGAGGGGATTATAGTTGAATTGGATTGTCCATCCGTCCATCTGTCTGTCTGTACACACAATCTTGTTTGTACAACCCAACAGTTCTCATGAAACTCCACAATCTGAAGTTGTGCACCTGTGGTTCATATATTTCGATCCAGACATTTTCAAGGGAGTTATGCACCTTTTCTAATATCCTATATAAAATTTGAAGTTGATCTCCTCGACAAATATTTGATAAACTTTGTACACTTCTTAAGTTGCCTACATAGTTGTTGGCTTATGATTTATTTTGGATTTCCACTATTTTTATAGGAGTTATGCCCCTTTTCTGATTTCTCATATATAAATTTGGTCAAAAGTACTGTCACTTCTTGACCAAATTTTATGAAGCTTTGTTCACATGAACATTAACTTTGGTAGTTGTGCTATATTTTTGATTTTCGTTATTTTGTTAGCAATTATGCCCCTTTCGGATTCCAATTTATAATTTTTAGCTCGCAGGATTTCTCCGATGAGCTTTTGCCATCTGTCTTCATCTGTTATCATACATCTTGCATTAACAATTTACATATTTGACTTCATCTTCAGAAACACAGAACTGATTGACTTCAAACTTGGTACACATGTTCCTCATGATTGCCCAACCAAGTGCTCTTATTTTTCATGCCAAATCAAAAATCCAAGATGGCCAACATGTCCTCTGATTGGCTGAGACATTTTCATTTTCTTCCCAAATATGGCTGAAGCGTTTGACTGTAAACTTGGTACAAATGTTTCTAATGAGACAGTTATGTCCCTTTCTGTATTTATATGTGAATTTTGACGAAAATCAAATCCCGAACTATCCTTCAGAGGGAGTTGAGGGGTATTCATTTAGCCTGTGGCTCACAGCTCTAGTTTTTCACAAAACTGGTGGAAGATTGACACAGCAGACACACAGTAATGAGTTTTAAACGCTTCCTCATCACTTATCACTCGAAGGTCACACAATCCCGTCACACACACAGCGGAGGGCAGAAGACACGTCAGCCATTATATCATACATCATCATAGTCTCGCTGGACTGGCGCAAATAGCTGACGTATGGATCATACCACAACGGACACTGTCCCCCATGTCATAACATATAGGTCAAACATTACCAACTCGCAGCATTTGGTGTAAGAGGCGGAATGTTTGGGGTCACTCACGGTGAAGAATTGAGTGTTGGTTAGAGTCAATATGGTTTAATAAATGCTTTTTTAGGCAGGGAAGGTGATTTAATGCTCCGAAAGTTTTATTCAATCTGAGTTCAATAGGTGCTTGGTCAGAGTCACAGTTACTCTTGTGGTAGATGCAATTTTATTATCAAAAGATACAGAATCTGTGGCCTTATAAAGAATTACAGAAACTTTGGCTTTATAAAGAATATTCTTATTAGGTGGGGAAGGTGATTTTATGCTCCGTAATTTTCATTCTAGCAGAGTTTAACCCTTTCACCCCTAAGTAACTTCAGTAGACTCTACCATGCATTGATATGGATGAGTCCATTATGGTCTACAGTGGTGAAAGGGTTAACAGGTGCTTGGTCAGAGTCACAGTTAGTCTTGTTTCAGATGCAATTTCATTATTTATAGAAACAGAAGTTGTGGCCTTATAAAGAATTACAGAAATTGTGGCCTTACAAAGAATACAAATCATTTTNGTAGACTCAGGTGACCGTTAAGGCCCATGGGCCTCTTGTTAATATTAGTCCACTGTTCTTATATGATTCTAGATATATGTACCCTTCTTTAAATCCCCGAGGACTTCTAATTTTCTCATCTTTAACGAAATCAGACAAAATGTAGTTTTCATCTTGTGTGTCCATCTGCCCCTGCATACATACGTTCAAATTGTTTCTGAAGCATTTCTCTTTTAAAATTTCAAGTAGGATCATCATTTGATTAGTATATCGGTAGATGTAGGAAAGATGACCACTAGCTCACGAACCGAAGCTAGGTCACTATCTGTCCTATATTTATTACCTCTGTTATCATTAACTCACTCACCCCCGAAGTCACATTTGAACTCTTCCAATTCAAAGGTTGGAATAGTTCATTATGAAATTTCAGGGGTGAATGGGTTAAAGGAAAAATTGTTCGTGGACAATATCTAGACCTTTATCAGAAGGTACTAAGTCAAAGGTCAAATTTAGGGTCATGCAGCATTGTGACTTCAAAAGGAAGTTTACTATAGATCGTATTATTTATTTGTCACGAGACCAAACCACATTTCCCTGATGGTGGACATGGTTACACGGTTGCATGATCGTATCTGAAATTTTCAGCTCCAACCTATTTCGGCAGCAAATATTTGGTTATCCTTGAAGCCACAGATTTGGGTTCCATCTAGTTCTCGATTTCAAGACATATTAAGTTTATAATTCATGTCAGTAGAAATTTATTTTGAAGATTGTAGCACTTTTGGATTTTGATTAAACCTAGGAGCCAGATTGTTGTTTTGAATGCAATCTTGTTTAACTTCAATACGCCCCAGTGTCTCCAGCCTTTCTTATACCATCATCTTTATCTATCACAGTGATATCAATAACAAGAATTTGCTCACTAATTCTACCTGTTTACTGGTAAAACTGTTCCTGTGAATTGACAGTATGTGATGATAATCCTCATTTTTTGTAACATCAATATTTTTTGCGTAAAAAATAACCCACACAAATTTTATGAAAATTAACATTTGCAAAACTGAATCAGAAGAATATGGGTTAAACTATAGAACACCAATTCTCTACAAACTAAAAGAATTTTAATTCTGAAAAAAGGATACAATGAAGGTGAAAATACTGTTTAAAATGTTTTTATATTTACAATAAAATGTTTGTGATAATTTCTACTCTTGTGTCAGTTTTGGATTTATTTTTGAAATACTCAACAATTTTTAGCTCACCTGGCCCAAAGGGCCAAGTGATCATGAGCTAATAATATCCCATGGCGCAGCGTCCGGCGTCCATCAACTTTTTCCTTTAAAACGCTACTAGTCCTGAACTAAATTTGGTCTGGAGCATCATTGGCCAAAGGGTTCTCAGTTTTGTATAAAAAGAGGGTATGGTTCCCCCTGGGGGCAGAGGGGCGGGGCCAAATAGGAGGAAAATAGGTAAATCTTTAAAAAATCTTCTTCTCAACCAATAGAAGGATTATGACCAAATTTGGTCTGGAGCATCTTTGGACAAAGGAGACTCAAGTTTGTATAAACGGAGGGTGTGGCCCCTCTGGGGGCGTAGGGACGGGGCCCAATAGGAGAAGTATAGGAATTTTTTTCTCCTGCTATACAAGTGAAGGGATTTAAACCAAATGCAGTCTGAAGCATGCTTGAGACAAAAGAATCAATTTTGTATAAACTGAGGTGTGTGGACCCCCTTCTTTGGGGCAGATGGGTGGGGCCCATTAGGGGAAATAGAGGAAAACATTAAAGATTCTTCTCCTTCTGTACCGTTGAAGGGAGTTTAACCAAACTTGTTCTGGAGAATCTTTGGGCAAAGGGCATTGAATATTTATAAATGGAAGATGTGCCCCCCCCCCCTTTGATAAACCTGAATGGTACTCAGCAGGTTTTAAATTGAAAAATAAAATACCAGGTGAGCTATTAAGGCCCCTGGGCCTCTTGTTATGATATCATGCACACTCTGCTGAGTAAACCAGAAAACTAGGTTGGTATCTGCATGGTTAAGGCAAAGATCGAAAAATATAGGCTGATACTTTTTCTGATAGCCTTCTTAATCAATGTTGAAAATGATACAAGCCATAAAACGAAACGCACTAAAAGACAATGCTCGTCAGTTTGCGTTCGCCAGTGCTAATTGTTAGGGACAGCCAATGAAAACCTCTGTCCCCATACCTACACTAATTCAGAGTTAGTCTCGTCCTTATAAATAATGTCTGAGATTTTAAATCTAATCGGAAACAATGAAAGAGAATATTATCAAATTTCTGCATAGCTATGAAAAATTCGAGATGGCATTTGTATTTTCTTTTACCCAACTTGATCTGGCATATATGATTGGATAGTAGAATTATCCCACTCCAGGCACGGGACGTGTCCACACGTTTGTACGGAACTCCGTTAACAGTTGGAACAAATACGGAGTGAATCATGCATAAACCATGAACACAGGAGCA